AAGCATGCGAGAACTACTCATTTTGTAGGTTAGCTGTTGTGTGTTCATCACCATTGCTGTATAATATCCCTTGGTATAAGGTAGGACAGCTTATCCTTTCTAAAGAGAAGGTACATTTGTATTGTCTCTCATTTGGGCTGTTATGAATCATACAAGGCATATTCTCCTGCAGGTCTTCTGGTGAACACACATGTATATCCCTGCTGTATGTACACTTAGGAGTGAGATTGCTGTGTAGCATAGATAGATGTAGCTTTCATCAATGCTGCCAGTCTTCCAAAATACTGAAACCTAATTCCGTTCCCATGGGCAGCATTTGAAAATTATATGACCTTTATTCCAGCTAACACTTGGTTTCATTTTAACTGTTCTGCTGGGTGGGTTTTGGCATTACAGGATATTCTAATTTGTATTCCCATGATGACTAATAAAACAAGGACATTCTAAAACCTGGTGCTTGTCTATTTGCTTTTTGAAGTGTCTAATTCAGATTTTGCATTGGGAGGGGGAATTTCTGTTTTCAGTTTGTAGGAATCCTTCATACGTTATGAATGTAGGTTCTTTATTAGATACGATTTTTTTTTTGGTACCAGGGATCGAACTTGGGACCTTGCTCTTGCAAGGCAAGTGGCAGAATCTGTGAGCTAAATCCCCGTCCTTCAGATATGATATTGCAGATATTATCTGCGTAGACATTTTTGCACAGCCCACTCAGAGTGCAGCCACTCCATGTGAGCCCACCATTGGTGGTATCAAGCTGGTCGTTGTATGATAGAACCCTGAGTAGATTTTCTAAGACATCAGGCTAAAGCATCATTCCCGAATAATCGAGTTAGAAATCTTTGGGTGGGGTGGACTGGGTGTCATTACTGCTTCCATTGCATCCCCAGTGCTCAGCAAGTATTATTCTTTATATTGAAATAAGTATATAAAAGTTAATGCTTAATTCAAAATTCTTTCACCAAGCAACCTACCATATGAATGCATTTTAAATGACTACGATAGAAGCTGATAAATGTTTACTCTGTATTCATAATTACAATAAATTTTCTAGTGGAATGACTAATACTATCTTCATATAAAGTGAGAAAGTCATTACTTTAAAAAAAATCTTACTCTTCATAAAATGATAGCATGATTTACAACTTTTTAAAGGTGGCCATCGCTTGCCTTGCATGTGCAAGGGCTGGAGTTTGATCCCTGGTACCAAAA